CCTGGTTGCTTGATGCTTGCAGGTATTACTGTGGGGTTGCGGTCGGTGATCACTAAGCATTTTGCCAGTGGCATTGGGATAACTTTGTGTTCTAGGAGGAACTTCATCCCAAGTACCACGTCAAAGTCGTCCATGCGAGCTACGACAAGATCTAGCTCTCCTGTCCAATCCCCTATTTTGAAGGGGACTCTTTTGGAAACTCCCACAATAGGCAAGGCCTCATAGTTGACAGCTTTCATTTTCCCCGGGTCCTTTTCTATAGTGAGTCCTAATCTTCGGGCTTCTTGATCGGCGATGAAGTTGTGGGTCGCTCCTGAATCTATCAGAGTGCTCCTACTCGGTTGGAAATTTATTGTCGCATCTACAAACATGAGCTCTTTCTCTACTATCTCCTTCGGTTCGACCTTCCGTTGGAGGGCTGACAAGAATTTAAGCGCGCCCATTCGGAGATTGTCTTGATCTTTCTTCTTGTCAAGCATAGTTTCAACCCTTGCGTCATTGCTCTCTTGAATGGACACTTGGAGCGCAGTGAGAGAGGCCCGATGAGGACAGTAAGATACTTTGTGGGGACCTTTACACAACATGCATTGTAAAGGGGTCGTCGGGTGGTTCCTTTGGTGGTAAGGTCCTCGAGATGTCCCCGCTTGGTTGTTCTGAGGAGGTCTATCCGTCCTTCCACTTGGTCTATCGTTACCTCCATTCGGCCTGTTGGGGCTTCCATTTCGATGACTTGGTGGTTTGTATGTCTTGCCCCCAGTGTTTGGGACTGGTGTCATTCTCCTTTGGGATCCCGCTTCGTTCCCATAGTCTAGGAGTCTCTCGGCACAGGCCATTGCGACGGCTAGGGTTTGGACCTTGTTCTCGTGTAGCTTTGTTTTGGCCCAGGCTGTAACCCATTTATAAAGAAGAACACCTTGTTCTTCTCTGATGTGCCCCTGATATCTAGCATCAGGGTTGAAAACTGTCTGACATAGTCTCGTATGCCTCCAGTGTGTTTCAGGTCTACTAGTTTTTCCATTGCTAAATGTCCTGCGTTTTCGAGGAGGAACTGGTCCCTCAACTCTTTCTTAAGGTCCTCCCATGAGTCAATGGTGCACAATCCATCCTCGATGTCTTGCACCTTCGTACGCCACCATAGTTTGGCGTCGTCTATGAGATACATCGAGGCTACGGTCACCTTCTTGTCGTCAGTACAAGCCGTTGTGGCTTTGAAGTACTGTTCGACATCAAAGATGAAGTTTTCCAACTCTTTGGCGTCCCGATTCCCTTTAAAGGCTCTAGAATCTGGGAATCTTAGTTTGTTGGACCTTGTATTAGTTTGCCCAGCCGTGACGTTCTCCACGGCTTTCATGGTCACTTCAATTCGAGTGCCCATGGAGGCCATCCTTTCTTGGATGTCGTCGATTGTTGTTCTGAATTCAACAGCTAATTCATTGAACAAGCTCATCATTGTATTTTGTAGCACGTCGAACTCTTCGCCACGTCCCTCCTTGTGCGCGACAGAGCTATCCGGACTACCAGACGGTTTTGGGCTGCTCGTAGGAGCAACTCTTTCTTTGAGCTAGGTCACTCAAAACATCAATTCTGTGATTGGCAACCCATCCAGGCGGTTGCCCATTGCGTCGATTCCTACGACTTTCTCACTCAATTCGGTCACCCGTGCTTCCAGGAAGCGGAGGGTGTCAGGGACTTCTTTGAGGAACAACATTTCCTCCTCTATTAGCGTAAGCCGGTCGGCTTGTGCTTTGGGTGTCGACTTTGTCGCCGACATGGTTTCGATCTTTACTGTGTCACGGAGCTAACAAAGCTCTGATACCACTTGACACAATCGCACTTTTAAAGGCAGCGGACTAGCGATTGTGCGGCACTCACTTTCCAACGACAAGTGAGCTAAGTCAATTTGTTCTTGCGTCGCCTACGGCCAAGCGACGTATGATCGAGCCTCTAGCCTCGGTTTTGAAAGAAGGTTTTAGAAAACGAGGGTAGAGAGAGATTTTAGAAAGAGAGATTTTTGAAAGAGACGTTATATAAGCAAGCAAGAGAGAGATAACAACGACTTAGCATATATAACCTTGGGTAGGGAGAAGTTGACAACTAGTCATATCCCCTATAGTAGATTGTGAGGCATTTCATCTCTGGCAAGCCTAGACATGATATTTTTGAGGCTCATACTCCCTACAACTAGAAAAGTAAAAACATTAGAATGAAGAAAGACATGACAAGGGTATGACAGAATGAAAAAAGACATGACAAGAGTTTGGCTTGCCATACGCATGCGGCCATGGACAACGGACGAGCATGACCGTGACAGTTAGCATCACCACCCCAGCCGCGGGGAAGCCAAGATCAACACACCCATCAAAATTTCTACAGAACTTATGGACGCGGACTAACCAAGGTCCTTCTTATCACAGGTCTCTCTTCTTTTTTTCCCTTTGATTTCTACTTTTTTTTGGAACTCGTTCTGATGGCTGTAAAATGGATGTAGGCTTGGCCGGAACCCACGATTCATGGGGACCCCAAATCCAAGGCTTTATAGGGACAGATTTTCCCAACGAAGACGGCGACAGGGACGTCGTCGGTGACCGAAATGCCACCGGTGTCGGCGAGGAAGTTACCTCCGAGAATGGCGGTGGGATCGAGGTTTGTGCATTTGATAATCGGGGAATGGGTCGGAGCTCCGTCCCCACAAAAAAATCTGCATATACGTGAATTCGACATTCTTTTGTTTATGAATCACTTTCTCAAATCTCTTATCGTTGTTGCATATCTGATAAAATTAATTAGAATTTGGGGATTTAGGTCAAAATACCCTAAGAGNTTTTTTTTTTTTTTTTTTTTTTTTTTTTTTTTTTTTGTTTCAATTAGTTTGTAATCTGTTTTTCTTCTCTGGGTTGTGCAGAACAAAGATAATGGCGAAGGATGCCATTGCCTTATTGGATCATTTGGGGTGGGAAAAAGCTCATATTCTTGGTCATTCCATGGGTGAGTGACTTTTTAACTCTGCTCAATGACTTCTGGACAAGAAATTGTGGAAGCCTTACCTTCTTGTAGTTATCAGTTCTTTGTTCTAACTTGTCATCTGGGTATCGGAATAGGAGGTATGATAGCTTGCAAATTAGCGGCTATGGCGCCAGGAAGATTCAAGTCATTGGCCATGCTCAATGTAACTGGTGGAGGTTTTCAATGTTGCCCTAAGGTATCTGATTAAATGTTTAGTGTTTCCACTTTGCGCTGTTTATTTGTTTTATCATCTTCAGAAAAATGTCAAAAGCTGCTAGCATGTTCTTTCATTTATTTAGTGCGTAAATATAATAAATTACTACTAGTTCTAATGTGAGATTTCAAAGAGGACAATATCTGTTAATGGTGGGCTTGGGCTTGGGCTTGGGCTGTTACAAATGGTATCAAAGCCAGACATTGGATGATGTGCCAACGAGGAGACTGAGCCCGAAGGGGATAGACATGAGGTGGTGTGTCAGCAAGGACATTGAGTCCCCAAAGGGGTGGATTGGGGGGTCCCACATCGATTGGAGAAGGAAACGAGTGCCAGCGAGGACGCTGGGCTCCAAATGGGGGTGGATTGTGAGTTCCCACATCGTTTGGGGAGAAGAACGAAACACTCTTTTATAAGGGTGTGGAGATCTCTCCCTAGCAAACATGTTTTAAAAACTTTGAGGGGAAGCACGAAAAGGGAAGCCTAAAGAAGAGAATATCAGCTAGCGGTTGGTGAAGATGAGACTTAGAACATGAATTTAACATTAAAGCCCTTGATTGAAACTGAAAAATGCTATTCAGTTGTGGTGGAGCTGTTTCTTAAGAAATAATGCTAATGCCTTTCTTCTCACTCTTTCTTGTAGCTTGACCCGCAAACATTCAAAATTGCAGTGAGATTCTTAAAGGCCAAGACTCCTGAACGAAGGACTAGTGTTGATTTGGATATCCACTATTCGAAGGTAAACGAAATCGTCGTCTATCTTCTGTTACCTTCGACGCTGTGAATTTGAATGAGGCTGTGTAGATGAATGACTGTTAACGTCTTGAAGCATGTCAATAGAAATATTATTGTATCTTTTGGTGCAGGAGTATCTTGAGGAGTATGTTGGATTTGAAAAAAGAAGAGCAGTATTATATCAGGTATGTATGATGGGCTGGTCATTCTCATCTGCCTTTATGTAGCCTTAATAGTTGGATTCTGGCTCTCTTCCCTTTTTATTAAATCTGATCCGCTCCCTCTTTTTGAACCATGCTCTCCACGTGGGACCTCCCGAAAAAGGAGGGAAAATGGAAACAATAAGTTAGTTCTCACATTGGTTAGAGAGGGGAACGAAACATTCCTTATAGGGGTGTAGAAACCTCTCCCTAGCATACGTGTTTTAAAACCATGAGGCTAATGACAATACATAACGGGCCCAAACGGACAAATATCTACTAGCGGTGAGTTTGAGTTGTTACAAGTTCTTTCTATGATTTCAAAAGCTTGCTAATGGTGTTGAAATTAGTCTGAAATATAGCTCCATTGCCATGTAGAGTTGTATTCTTGTGAGATCCCACGTTGGTTGGTTGAGGAGGGGGACGAAACATTCCTCATAAGGGTGTGGAAACCTCTCCCTAGCAAACACGTTTTAAAAACCTTGAGGGGGAGCTCAAAAGGAAAAGCCTAAAAAAAACAATATTGGCTAGCGATGGGTTGAGCTGTTACAATTCTTTTTTTTTTTTTTTTGGTCAACTAGTTAATTTTACCATCACTAGTTTGAACTGATCTCGTGCAGTTTTTAGATCGTTTGGAACTGTACAACATCCCGTTACAAAAATAAATGTGCTTTTTCGATCATGTTATTAAGTTATTATCTAACAAGAGCCAAGTGTAGGCAATGATCACTGCATATGGAATCTAACCATGTAGGAAAAGGAGTGAAAAAAATCCATGAACCCTCTTAGAACAAGCTTCTTTTGAACTTCCTTGTGGAAATGACTTTAATAAAGGGAATAAGTTGAACTAAAAACTAATGTCAGTCGTAAGGAGACTTGGTTGAGAACGGTCCACCTTCTTCATGTCTATCGAGTTCCTTGCCACGACATTGCGATAATTATGTTCTTGAGTCTCAACTCTCGAGTATAAATAATTCCCTCCCATTTCTCTGATTGATCAAAGTCGTTAAATGACCTTTAAATGTGTTTGTATAGATGTATTTATGCGTAGATACTTGATAAGGAATCAATATAAGAGAAATATGATTCAAATTACTTTGTTGATCGAATATCTCAAGACAAGAACACTTATTTGAGATTCGAATCACTCCACAAGCAAGATCGATCATGTCAAGCTTGAATGATTCTAAACATGCAACCTAAACTACATAGAATTGTAAAGAAACTTAGCACTTGGCTAAAGGAAAGGTAAGAACACTTCGTCCTAATGATAACGAATCTTGTTGATCAAATATCTCAAGGCAAGAACACTTGTTTGAGATTCGAATCACTCTACAAGTAAGATTGATCATGTTAAGCTTGAATGCAATTTAAAGTACATAGAATTACAAAGAAACTTGATCATCGGCTAAAGGAAAGCACAAATGTTGTTTTTACTTCATTTTCCAAGTATACTTTACAAAGACAATATACGTGGTTTTATACAATCCAAAATGTCCTTAACCTTTCATGAGACGTTCAAAGAGATGTAAAACTTCCATATCTTATGACCATAATTAGCCATTATGTAAATGTAACTTAAAACAAATTGAAAGTCTTAAAATACATGAATGAAATACCATAACTCTAAATTATCATCAAACAAATAATTTATAACCATAAATTTCATTCTTTTTTAATGTAGCATGAATTGCAACATCTTCATTGAAGTTTATCGTGCATGATTGATGCCTTGGTTCATATCAAAACCTCTTTCTAAGTGGATGATTTTTGTTTAAACCACGTGTACATATCGAGAGACACTTGTTTGAGAAGCTAGTTAAAAACTAAAGGTGTCTATGACACCATTTCATCTGTTGATCGTTTATATCGATTTTTCTCGATATCTCTATGAACTATGTTTCTCTGGACATAGAAATTTGGATTCTTAGTCAACTCGAAACAATTATATTTCAGGAATATGTTAAAGGTATATCAGCAACAGGAATGCAGTCTAATGCTGGTTTTGCTGGTCAAGTTAATGCATGTTGGACGCATAAAGTGACAAAAAAAGAGATAGAATGCCTTAAGTCTGCTGGATTTCTTGTATCAGTCATTCATGGCAGGTAAACAATCAGCAAAGTTTTTTGTGCACATATTTATATAACTAATTGACCTCGTCGTCGATGATGACTGAATCCTTTTCGATCACTAGGCATGATGTTATTGCTCAGATGTACTATGCTAGAAGACTTGCCGAAAAGCTGTATCCTGTTGCTAGAATGGTAGACCTCCATGGAGGTCATCTAGTCTGTCGTGAAAAAACCGAAGAGGTATAATTTTCATCCAAATCAATCGATAAGTTGTGAACAGAAACCGAAAAGTTGAGTTCGTTTTCTGAGAAATTCAGGTAAATCGAGCTCTTCTCGACTTAATTAGAGCCTCGGAAATGAAGACGAGTCCACACGAGTGGACAAACTTGGCAAAGAAAAGATCATGTGAGCATTTTTGTTCTAATGGTGTTCTCTATGGTTGTTTGGAAATGCTAAAAAATCTATTGGTTCTAACAGGGTGGATGGAGGAGAGAATGGCTTTTGTAACACTGAAGAATGAAGGAGGAGGAAGCAGTATCTCCTCCTCCTCCTCCTCCTCCTCCGCCTCCTCCTCCGCCAAACCTTTCTTCTTAGAGAGACTCCATCTTTTCGTGTTGTATCTCTTTGGTCTGATTCTTTTTGAGTTCGAGTATCTCCGGAACGGCCTGAAAAGCTTGAAACCGGTCCGAGACTGAGCCTCTCTTACTCCAGATCTTCTTAGAGGTGAGCTATATGATTGTTCTTCGTTGCAGGGTCTGTTTCATTTTTGCTAAACTGTAGTCGGGGAATGAGTTCTCTCTCAATATTGAGAACCTTCAAGGGAAACCATCAAAAGGACCTATCTTACAAGGCTGATATACCCTCCCCTATTGAGTTAAACTATATATATCCTTCTGTATAATTTATAAAAATGTTCATATTGTATCAATAAATGTGTATTGTATTCTTCTTGATTTAAACTAATATAGGGCGCACCAACCCGAAATTTAATCAAGCACCAAGTCCGTGGATTTCTTTCGAATCGAAATATTTCCAAAAAGGGTTATGAACGGGCTAGACTTGTATGTTTATTGTTAGCACTGAATCGAAATTGGATGAATCATAGCTTATGCAAAGAAGAGGAAAAAAAATTGCTTACGGAGAGGTGTGTTGAAGGGCTCTCGTTCAACGGATCAAAAATATGTCAGGAGATAACAGGCTTGATGACTCGAAAGACCTCCCAAAGTGTGTTGACAAGGCTGGACAAGTATAGAGGAAGGAATATTTCATATATATGCCTTTGGAATATACCAATATGCCCACATAAATACCACCAAATATGACTCATTATATGTTTTTTTTTTTTTTTTTTTGAAGTAAACATTGACTAACCTTTAAGAAAATATTGGACTGGAGTAGGTTCGGTCAAAATGAGGCACTTGGTGCGGTGAACCTAGATCGAACACGTGACCTTCAAATTTTCAGTCTGACGCTCTCCCAACTAATCTATCCCCACTTTTTACTAAAGTTAATAATATGTAACTTTGATGCGGTGGACTTAACATTCGCTATTTCACTATTTTTAGATCGATAGTCGAGTTATGCCTCGAGGTACCAAATACAATGAACATGGATTGAACATGTGACTTTTAGATCTTCAGTCTGGCACATCATCATACAAGTTGTCTAACAAAGCCAAGAGTGAAGTCACTTATTTAGTTGATCTAAGTCAATGTCACTAAATTTTCCTGTTCTTTTGATTCTACTCGTCGAGGTCTAGTTTCGAAGTTAACTCCAAATTGACTTCATTTTTTTTCCTTCGGTAAAAAAAAAAAAAGAAAAAAGAATAGTAGGAATATTAAGAAGTAAAAAGAGAAATGAATTAGGATAATGAAAATTGTAAGTAAATAAGATAATATAACGAAGGAAATGGAGTAAGTGGATAACGACATGAATCAATTAAAGCCTATATGTGACTGTTTATTGAATATTTTATACCCACTCATACTACTTTCAGATGGGTCATGAAGTAGCGATCGAAAACGTGCGACAGCTACAAAAGACCTTGTAGTTTGTAATCTTTTACCTATTTTGGTTTTTATATTTGTATTTAAATTTTATTAACCGTGTATTAATACATATTCGTTCCTAGTTCATAATCTTCAACAACATATCCTTGATCCCTATTGTTGAATTATATATTTATTTGAGATTTTGATAACATTTTCATGCAACATAGTTAGTTATTTGTTTATCAGACATATAAAATAAAATCTCAAATCAAACGATCTTTGAATTTTGAGCACGGTTTTTATTTAGTCGTCATAGAATACCTTTTGGCTTTTAAGTTTTAAACTATTTAACCCTGTTGGATGATGAAAGTCCACATGTGCTAATTTAGGGAATGATCATGAGTTTATAATCAATGAATACTCTCTCCATTTGGTTGAGGCGTTGCGAGGAAACCCAGAGCAAAGCAATGAGAGCTTATGCTCAAAGTGGACAATATCATACCATTGTGGAGAGTCGTGTTCATCTAACATGGTTTCAGAGCTATGCCCTAAATCCTCAAATGTCGAACAAATGACTCATGACTAAGACTCCAAAAGAAAAGGGAGCCGAGCCTTCATTAAGGGGAGACATACTTTGTTTAAAGGAAGGTGTTGGACCCACATCGACTAATTCAAGGAAGATCATGAGTTTATAATCAATAAATGCTCTCTAACTTGTGGTTGGTCTCTAATTTTTAAAATATTACATTTTTTATTAATTTAATAATTTAATTTTCATCTGATCTATAAACCTAAATTACTTTGTTATTAATTAATTTAAAAATCAACATTTTTTTGGGTGGAAAATACACATCATAATTATTTTAATTAACTAACTGAAAGTTTATTTACAAATTAAAAATAAACTCCAGAATAATTATAAAAATATATTTTAAAATTTACTGAAAAAAAAGAGAAAAACGAAGAACAAAATAGAGGGGAAGCATCAAATCGAATTCGGCGTTTGACCTGGACTGACACAGAACCAGACCTCCGCAGAGCGAAGCGAGGAGGTGGAGGAAGAACGCCAAGAAGACTCGTTTCGCTGTAATCCGCAGCGGCTGCTCGTCAAATTCTTCTGTTTTTCATTCATTTCAAACCTCAATTTCTCAATTCTGCACTCATTTCAGCAGCTCGCCATGTTTCACTCAAACAATATGCAGGCATCTCTCTCTCTCTCTCTCTCTCTCTCTCTCTCCCTTACTTAATCTGTCTGGTTTATGCGTACTCGTAGACCTAGAATTTGCTTCTGGCTTGTCGGATTTTCCTGTTCCCCTGCATTTTTGTTGAGGCTTTAGTAGAGCAGTAGGTGGCTGTTGTTGTGTGCTTCTGTTTACGACAATTTATGAAGAAATTGGAGTGGAGAGATTGTTGGAGTTTGATTGTTTCTGAATTTTCTTGAATTTCTCCTCTGTGTTGGCCTCTAATTGTGCTCTGTCTGGCAGCTGGCTATTCGCATACCGACATCGCCGGCCCAAGATTCTACGCAGTATATGCAAGTCGATCAGAGCGACAGTTCGTGTGTCGTGAGGAATGATATGCAAAATGGGGGCTTTGCTCATGCGGAATACATCTTCAATTTTTCCAAGGTGTCATCATCATACTCATTTGGGTTTCTTTTTTTTTATACAAGTTTGTTTTCGGATTACGGTTGTATGGATAAACAATGCACAAGTGTGGGGAGCATGTTGTAAACTCTCGGTTGACAGTGGTTTGCTTGTATTCGCTTAGCTAGTGAATTGCTAGTCTCATGCATCATTGGACTGATTCCTGCAGAAACTTCAAGAGGATCTACAGACGTTCGGAATGAAAATAAAGCAACACGAGGACAACATTAAATTTCTCAAGACTCAGAAAAGCAAATTAGATGAATCCATCCTCGATTTGCAAGGTATTTTATCTATAATTGTTGGGAAGTGAATTTGTTCTTAGATGGAAAAACGTGGGCAATATAACATGCTTGCAATCGTTTGTCATTTACCATCAAGGTGATTGGTCATGGCAAGCATTGCATCAAAAAAGCATATATTAGTTTTGGTGATTTTATTATGTATGGTTTGTGGGGTTTATGTTATATTACTCACCAAAATATATTACGCATTTAAATTTCAAGCTTGCATGTGGTGATTTTTTTTCCACATTAGATTCTTAGACATGTAGCATTGGTTTTCTCTTCCTCGTACTGTTTGTGTGAGGACTTATAAATATTCCCTTTAGTATCTTTTATCCACTTATATAGTTTTCTTCAGTTATTCTAGGCAAGTATCATCATTCTTCAGGCACGCCTGTGGCTGAAAACGAGATTCATTCCCATCCTCAAAGTGATGAGGAAACGATGCAACAGATTATGCAGCAGGAGAAGTCTGCTGCTGGAATTATTTGTAAATTGAGCGCACATCATAGTATTCAGGCTTACAATATCATGTTGACCAAAGATGTATTGGGCATTGTTGCTCGGCTTGGAAAAGTTGATGATGATAATCTTAGCAGGTCCGTGTTACTTCTACTTCTTTTAATTTTATTTTCCTCCATTTATTTTGGAATGTGGAATTTGTTATGAATCAACTGACGTTCCCTGGCCTTTTCCTCAGGTAGTTGTGGGTGGGTGGGATGGGGGTGTTGAGATTGAATTACATCACGTCTGATACATAAAACTGAGCTTTACTGTATGTCTATGCATGTCTTATTGGGCGAGGGTGGTTCACCAGATACTATACTGGATCCAAATCGATCAGATAGTCTTTTACTTGTTTGTTGTCACATTTGTTTGAAGTGTAGCTTAAACAATTAGAATGTTTAATGTAATTGGACATCTAAAGGTGGAGGTGGAAGATGAGTGTTCTTTTAGCATAATCTATGATGTCTGGCCTCTTGTTTAACTATTTTAATTTTCATTGATGTTGTGATAAAAGTTAAAAATGCTGAGGGATACTATATCATTTAAATTTGTTTTTAGTGATAGAGAAACTTTTGAAGTGGACTACATACTATCTGAAAGCAGAAGTGAGATGAGTACTTGAGCATGTGCCTTCTGTTCTTCCTGTTATGAATTGTTTGTTATTATAAGAGACAGTCTTATTACATCATCAAACAAACAATATGCATAGTGTTGCACTTACATGATTTTTTTTTAATTATTTCAATTGCAGACTTCTCTCTGAGTACTTGGGAATGGAAACCATGCTGGCAATTGTCTGTAGAACTTACGAGGGAGTTAAGGCATTAGAAATATATGACAAGGAAGGTTGCATAAACAAAAGTTTTGGAATTCATGGTCTTGGTGCTTCAATTGGGAGGAACTTGGATGGCCGGTTTCTCGTAATTTGTCTTGAACATTTGAGGCATTAGTCTTATATACTGTATCTGCTTGAAATTCTGAAGCTTAAGTTTGTAAACATTCTTTGGAGGTTTTATTTACCCATGAAAATGCTAAAAGTACCTTTTTTTTTTTTTTTTTTTTTTTTTTTTTTTTTTTT